TTGCTCTTGAGTATTTTGGAGAGGTCCCTAACCTCTTCTAGGTATCTAATTATTTTTATTTGTATTTTCCTGATAGCTCAAGCTCACCGACTGAGCTGTGGTTGGAACTGACTCTTAGCTGACCCTCTACTGGGTTTCTGAGCTCAGGAGGGTGGCCGTTTTTTCTGGTGCATTAGAACTGCCAGAGAGGAGTGACCTATGGGTTAAGCAATACAACTCCCTACCCACTGTGCCACCAGACTTCCCAGTCTGTGTGTTTTCTTTAGATCATTTGCCCATTTTAAAATAGAATTCTCTTCTATTATTGAATTAATAGTTCATGTGTTCTAGATTAACATCCCTTATCAGATATTTGATCTGCCAATATTTTCTCATACTTTTTACTTTGTTGCTGGTGTCCCTGAAGCATGAAGGTTTTTAATTTGATGAAGTCCAACTTATCAGTTTTAATGCTTTAATTGTTTAACTTTAGTATTTCCTATCCTCGTGGAGGTTTTTTTCCTTAAGGAGCCCTGATGTTGTCCTATGTGTTAGGCACTTAAAAGTGGATTGAATCCAGCAGCCACTCTGCAGGAGAAAGACTAAACAACAGTCCCTTCCTGTAAATGTCTGGAGCTCAAGCCACTGAAGGGTTATGGTGAGTCAGGAATGACTGAGCTTGGTTTTGATTTTTATTTGTGTAGTTTTACTATTTTTATTTGGGCCTGTGATCCATTTGGGGCTAATTTTTATATGTAATGTGATAACAGGTGTTGGGTTTGTCTCTTTTTGCATATGTAGATCCAAGCTGTCCATTTTTAGCTGTTTTTCTCACACTGGATTGTCTTGACTTGCTTGTTGAAAATAAATTGCCCCTTAGGTGGGAAGATTTGTTTTTCTGTATTCTCAATTTTATTCCATTTATCTGCGTGTTATTTTTATACCAAAGATGGTGATGCTTCATCTCACATACTCTGAGTATATTGTTAGGAGAGTCAGTTCTTTGAAGAGGGACATTGTGCTTGGGAAGTTGGTGGAACAGTGAGAGAGAGGAAGACCCCTCCACAAGGTGACTGCGGCAATGGGCTCGAGTGTGTCAGAGATTGTGAAGATGGCACAGGATAGGACAGGGTTCAAGTCTGTCTCAGTTGCCACCGTACACCACCACCCTATGAACAATAATATGCTATCTTTAATACTATTGCATCTGAAATCAGTTATTACTGACATTTAAAGCTTTCCTCTTCTTTTTCAATAGTATTTTGGTTATTCTGTATCTTTTGAGTTTCCATATAAATTTTAGGGCCATTTTACCAATTTCTGCAAGAAAGCAATTTGGATATTTGTTAATGGTTGCATTGAATCTGTAGATCAATTGAGGAGTTTACCACCTTAACAATATTAAATCTTCTAATCTATGAACATGGATTATAATTTCATGTATTTAGATCTGTAATTCCTCTCAGCAATATTTTGTAGTTTTCAGAATATATAAATTTTATACTTTTGTTTAAATTTATTATTAAATATTTTTTATGTTACTGTAAATGGTTAATTGATTTTCAGGTTGCTCATTGTCCAAATACAGTTACTGATTTTTTTTTACACATACCAACTCCACGAATAATCTTCAGAAGTAAGTATAGCATTTAGGATTGAAAACCTTTCAGTTTTTTAGTTTTGAATTTAAAAATTGTGTTTTAACTTCATGCTGACAAAGAATTTTTTTTTAAGAAATCATCTTTATTTTAGAAACTTTGCTACCTACCACTGAAGCACTTGCACGTGCAGTCAATTGCCAGGTCATGCATAGATAGGAAAAAATCATCATTAGATAATCCTTCAACTCAGTATGAAGAATACAAACATTCAAAGGTCCTAACTGAAACTTTCAATCCTTCCCAGAAGACAATCAAGACTCCTCATCACTCCTCAATCTAAGCCCCTTTGAGTTGACATATCAGCAAGTAAAACACCCAGGCAATGAGCTTCTCAAAAGCAACATAGAAATCTTAAAATGGTTTCTATGGATTTATGTTTAATATTTGTGTCAGAAAGATATATATATACTGAATGTGGAAACTACAGAACATATATATAACAGAATGTGGAAACTACAGAACAATCTCACTGATTTCACATGCAAGCAAGATTTTACTGAAGATTATCCAAAAACAACTGGAACAACACATCAACAGAGAACTACCAGAAGTCCAGGCTGGGTTTAGAAGGGGTCGTGGTACTAGAGATATTGTAGCTGATGTTAGATGGATCTTGGCTGAAA